GGGGGGGGGGGGGGGGAAGCAGTGAATAGAGCGGCAGGACAGGCCAATCGCAAAACGTACTCCATGCGACCACGGCGTTCCCGCTGGGGTCGGCCAAACTTGGCCTTTTGTACAATCAGATCGCGGCCTTCAAAGGCATGGCTTTGGCGCGGATGCACCGTGGCGATAAGCGCCAGAGTGGGATGTGAGGAGAATGAAGCCCAACAGCCACAGGCGCTTTTTCGCCAAGGAAGCCACAACCTTCATTTCATGGTCAGCTAAGAAAGGCCGAGAGGAGGGAGGGGGGCTCTGCAACATACCCGTCCATCTTTTCGGCTGCTTTGTCGGCATCTGCTTCTTCGTAAAAGCGCACAAAGCAAAAACCACGCGAGCGGTTCGTGTTGCGATCGCTGGACAGCGTCAAGCCAGCGAAGCGAGGTGAGGGCACTGAGCTGCATGTTGTTGGCAAATGGAAAGAGGGGGGCACTTACCGGGGCATGTAGATGTCGCCAATCTCGCCAAAGTCTTTGAAGAGATCCCGCATCATGTCTTCGGTCATGTCACTGGTAATGTTGTCCACCTAACGCAAGGTCACAGGAGAGGTGAGCGAGGCCCGCAAGGGAGCGTGAGAGTGGGTTATGTAGGCTCGGCGAAAGAAGAAGTGGTTGGGCAGTCATCAATGACGAGGTAGCTCGACAGTCGAGCGACGGTCAAGGAGACGGTGCATGCACACGGACCTTCAGGCTGAACATTGCATCCACGTTGGAAGGAGGTGGGCGGCCAGCCATGTTGACGGTGAGAGGATCGGAATGCTGAGGGGCCCAGTCGGAAAATTAAGTGGATGAGTGAGGCGCAACTCAATCGCTCATGCGAGAGTCAACAGCACAACACAAGAGGTGCAAGGACAGGAGTATTAAAAAATGTTGTCGTTGTGCCAGGCCAGCCGCACACAGAGAGGCCGACCGTGCCCAGTGGCCTTTGGGCGGTGTGCCTCGCTCATTCACCCCCTCTCACGGCAGCATGAGCGTCCAAATCAGACAACATCCTCCCTCTACTCAAACACAAAAACAGACCAATTACCCAGTCGAGAGCTCATAGATGCCGCGGTCCTAGGTAGCCCGCTCCAACCCCCTCCCCTTCCCTCCCCTTCCCTCCCCTGCGATCCAGCCCCGCCTTCCCTCTTGTCGGCACGGCACGTCACTCAAGACACAGAGAGAGAGAGAGAGAGAGACAGAGAGAGAGCTGCTCACCACCACCGTCACAACAGAAGAATGAATGTGTGTGTGTGTGAGAGAGAGAGTGTGTGTGAAGAAACAAAAGAACCAAAGGTAGCAGTCGCGAGAGAGAGTTTGAATGACATGTGGTACACTAGAGAGAGAGAGAGAGATGAAGAGAGATGAAAAGAGAGAAACAAAAGGATGACAAAAGAACACAAGCTACACCCACACACACATCCAACATGACCACATGCACACGAACGACAACGACGTGTGTGTGTGCTCGTTGTGGTGCTCATCTTTCCAGTTTTTCTTGTCTGGGCCGTCAGCTCGTATCAAGGTTCGTCTGATGGGCTGATGGGCTGTTGGTGGCTTGGACGGCGTGGTCGCCTGGTAGGACGTGCGATCGGGGTCTTGCGTGGAAAAGGGCTGGGGATGGCTACTGCTGCTAGACTTGGAAGGTAGCTGGGGTGTTGTGGTGGCGGGGGTGCGCGTAATTTTTGCTGCAAGCCTCCAGAGACCAAGGCGACAGCGGCGCCACGCCCCACCCCTGATGTTTACTTTGGGCTGGCCCTTCTTTAACCTGGCGGCATTGTGGCAACGAATAGGAGCTCCAGCACCATGGAAGTCGTGGCGTCCAAAGACGACCGCAGTAAGCCCTTGCAGGAGCATTTGCTACCTACCGTGTTCAACCTCGGTCCTCATCTCTGCCGCCATCGCTTTGCCCCCGTCGCTCCCAACTTATTTCAACAGTGGCCGCGGCGCTATTGGCTGCCGCCAAGGTCCTTAACATCACCGTCAAATCTGTTCAAGGTTTGCTGCGGCTTCACGTTCCGGCCTTGACCCTCCCTCGCAGTGCTTCAATTGATGGGCGCTGACGTTGTGTTGTGCCTCTCTTCCGGACTCTGCCTGCTCCAGCGGACGGCCGAGCTGACTTCAACTTTCGTCATGGCAACGTGTCCTTGTTTGATCTCGGGGCTGCCGTGGTCTATCTGGTCGAGCACGCCAATGCCCAGGCTACTCAACTTGGCGAAGCCGGCGCCGCCCGTGCCCAAGCCCTCTGGCTTCTGCAGGTTTGTCCAATCTACTCATGCCCCACCACACGCTTTGGCCCCGAGCTTGACGAAACATTTCTCGCTACAACTGGATAAACCCCTTTCTGACCGGCTCCCCTTGCTGACTCGATGATGGTTTAGTTGGCGTCTCGTGCAGGCGACAGTGCTGCTCTGGCCGAGGCTCTGGCCACCCTGCTCGTCAACAAGTACCAGCCAACCGCGCTGGTGGCTGCAGTTGTTGTCACGGTCCTGAGCGGCTCCACCTTGACCTTCTCTCCTGGTCAGTTGTGAAACCCGTGTCAGCCTGGGTCTACCTGGCCTGGATCTTATCCATCGCATGCAAACCTAACCTCCCCGCGCGAATCCCTCGGCTTCCGCACATCGCCCTGCCGTGCCACCCTTGCACCTCTCTGTGAATGTGCCGACTTGATCGTAGCCGTCAGCAAATTCTTGGCCAGCCACGGTGGTGACACGGCTAAGAAAACGGGCCAGCGTCAAGGAAAGGCCACGAGCGCCGCTGCTCCGGCAGCGGCAGACTCGGCTTCAGCCACAGTGTCCGTGGCCCCGATCACGGAGGAGGATCGCCAAGGCGCTCGCAAGGCCTGGAAAGCTAGCCAACGCCCTGAGGTCAGCCCAACTCCTCGCCACCCGCTCAGCGACTGACCAAGCACTCATAGATTGCTTGTGTCAATGCCCAAGGTCCACGTCCGCCCACCGGCACCCATCTTGCCCAAAGCGGGGGCTCGCAACATTCTTGTCACGGTGAGTCGGCAACCACCCCTCTTCTTTTGCCAAGCATCGAGCATCTGCTTCCTTCTTGCCCCTTCAGCCAGCTTCGCCTCTTCATTTTCTTTGTTTGCTGTCGGTCTTCTGAATGTCGGGCCAATAGAGTGCGCTGCCTTATGTCAATAATGTGCCGCACTTGGGCAACATTATTGGTTGCGTCCTCTCAGCCGATGTTTATGCCCGGTATGACATCTTCTCGCCCTGGCTGTCAGCAAACGCCCATCGCTCATCTACTCTTGTGCCGGACACCCATCAACCCTACTTTCCAGGTTTGCGCGCAATCAGGGCCATACCGTCCTCTTTGTGTGCGGCACAGACGAATATGGCACAGCAACGGAAACCAAGGTGTGTACGCCCAGTTGAATACCCACGTCGAGAAATACAAGGCAGCAGTCTCGGCGCACGATAGCGATAGCGATAGCGATAGCGATTGCCGCCCTGCACTCACAGCCTCGTGTCTGTTCCCATAAAAAACCAAAAAGGCGCTGGCCGAGGGCATGACCCCTCGGGAGATCTGCGACAAGTACCACGGTAGGAATGAGTGGGCCCTTTGGTGCCCGCCTGCCAGTCTGGCGCTTTCTAACGCCCACCACAAATGACTCGTTCATGATAGCCATCCACAAGGGTGTTTACGAGTGGTTCAACATTAGCTTTGACCACTTTGGTCGCACCAGCACGCCGCTGCAAACCGAGATTTGCCAAGACATCTTCAAAAAGTGCTACGCCAATGGCTTTGTTCAACAAAAGGTGAGGGCGTAGCAGATTCCTCACGCGCCAAAGTTGTGTCTTCCTCTGTTTTGCTTGCTCGTCGCGCTCCTTCATTTGTTGGTGCCACATGCATGCGTTTTTTTTTTCTTTCTTCCTTTTTTTTCCTCGATATAGGACGAGCAACAGTGGTACTGCACATCCTGTGAAACGTTCCTGGCAGATCGTTTTGTGGAGGGCATCTGTCCTGATTGCGGTGCGTTTCATGATCACCTCATCATGTGGGCCGGGCGTGGGTGATAACACGTGCATCCTGGCATTGATCTGGCATTCGGTTATCTGTTGCAGGCTACGACGATGCCCGTGGAGACCAGTGTGACGAGTGCGGACACACGTTTGATGCCATCAAGCTCAAGGTCAGTGCCTGGCCGACCACTCACCTACTATGGGCTGCATCTCATTCCAGATTTTATCCACTTGCTTTAGTCGCCGCGTTGCCGTTACCGCAAGGACTGCAATAAGGCACCCGAGCTGCGCACTTCCCGCCACCTCTACTTGCAGCTGGATAAGCTCCAGCCTCTCACCGAGAAGTGGTATGCCGAGTCAAACGATAAGCATGCCTGGAGCAAGATCGCGCAGGTGAGGCGAGGTCCCGCCCAGCCGCGTGCCTTACTCATTTACGATTGATTGGGGGTGGGGGAAGAGGTTGTTGACTGTCATCTTGGCTGACGTTGTGTTTCTTGTTTGCTCAATCTCAACAGGACATCTCGCGCAACTGGTTCAACATGGGCCTCGAGGCACGCGCCATTACGCGTGACCTCAAGTGGGGCATCCCTGTGCCGCTTGAGGGATTCACCGAAAAGGTTTGTCCCCTACCGTCCATGATTGCTGGAGCATGTCTCAGTTCCAAAGGCTTTGGTCCACTCACAAATCCTGCCGTTCGCCGTAGGTGTTTTACGTTTGGTTTGATGCGCCCATTGGCTACATCTCCATCACGGCCAACTACACGGATCAATGGGAGCAGTGGTGGAAGAACCCAGAGAACGTCGAGTTGTTCCAGTTTATGGCCAAGGATAACGTGCCATTCCACTCCATTGTCTTCCCATCTGCCCTTCTCGCATCTCAGGTTTGCTAACAGGCTGGATCCGCCCATTTTGCGTGTGTGCCTTTGACCTGGTGCCTTCTAAGTGGAAGCAATGCGGTCTTTGCGTTTGTCGATAGGACAACTGGACGATGCTGAATCATCTGAACGCCGTGCAGTACCTCAACTATGAAGGAACTCAGTTTTCCAAGGTGTGAACGTTCGCGACGTGGTCCCAGCGCAGATATAGCTTCAATGTCGCACATTGGTCTTCCTTTCAGTGGAATACGTTCGTTGCTTGTTCTTTGTTTGTTTTTGGCCTGGCCTCTAACCCATTGCTTATTCCCGACATTGTCACACCAGAGCCGTGGGGTTGGCGTGTTTGGCGACTCGGCTCGTGACTCGGGATTGGCCGCGGATGTATACCGCTTCTATCTTCTCTACATGCGACCTGAAGCTTCCGGTGCGTGGTCCTCAAGCTCGCCTGTCCTTGCGAACCTCCACATTCTGAGCCATCATTGTGCTTTCGTCTTGAACTCAATGCATTTCTGTACACGTGTCCATGCAGATGCCAACTTTGACTGGGAGGATCTGGTGGCCAAGCACAACAACGAGCTGCTCAACAATTTGGGCAACTTTGCCAACCGGGCTCTCTCTTTTTGCAAGCGCTTTTTTGACGGCAAAGTGCCCAAGATCGCGCTTGATGACACCGCTGTCGAGGCCGTGGCACAGGTCAACACCGAGGTAGGTTTCCCGTATGCTCACAAAGGCTTCCAAGAGTAAGCCACTCAAATTGGCCTTAGCTATTGGCCCAGCTCATCAACCACCAACCCCCCGTTGTTGACCCCTACTTGGCATAGCTGCGTGCCTACACCGAGGGTATGGAGTCCCAGGTTCGGATCCGTGATGCCATTCGTGGCATCTTGTCCGTGTCCCGCATCGGCAACCAATACTTGCAGAGCACCATGGTATGCATCAAACTATGCCTGCTGCTTCAAGCCTGGACGGCACTTAGACTGGCTCTGCACATGATTCACCTCAACTCACATCGTCGGGTTCTTATTCTTGGGTTAGCCTTGGAAGCTGGTGAAGAACCCCGAAACAGCAGCTCAGGCTGGCTCCATCGTAAGACACCCGCATGCTCTAGCCGGAACAGCAGCTTATGCATTTGAGTGAAGAAGACAGCTATCTACGTCTCGATACTCATGGCCAAGTCCCCTTGCCCCGCATGTTGTCGTACCCTTTTAGGTGGGCGTCGTTCTGAATTTGACCTACTTGATTGCGCTCATGCTCGAGCCCATCATGCCGGACACGGCCCAGGAGCTGCTGCAGCAAATTGGTGCTGAGCGCCGGTGCGTAAAGGTTGCCCCTGTTGAGCACTGTTGTTCATGCACTCTTGGTTGAGGTGACCGAGGGGTGTGGAGTTTCAGGTGCCTGACGGCTTGATGTGATTGCAAATCCACCAGAGTTCAATGTTTGCTGTTTTTCAACACGCTCTCACTTGCTCCCTACCTTGTCTTCGGCATCGCCCGCATGAAATAGATTTTTGCCATCAGCCTTTGCGCCTTTGTTGGACGAAGGCCACGTCATCGGGGAGCCCAAGCCCCTGTTTGAGAAAATTGACCCTGATATGGTGAGTCTCCCGCCCCTAATTGTGGTATATATCATCCCTTTGCTTCGTCTCAAGCTTTGCCACAACTCTCTTCTCTTCTGACAAATCGGGGTGGACCAACGAATGTAGGCCAAGGAGTGGCGCTCTCGCTACGGTGGACGTCAAGCCAAGGCACCCGAAGCGCCCAAGGTGGAGTTGCTACCCACGGATCGCAAACGTAAGACTTGGTCGGACAGATGCGGCAATAGGTTTTGGCATCCAATCTCATTTGATTCACTGCTGCGATGAACCCGCGTGGACAGCGACGGCTGAGGACATTGCTCGCCTTCGCAGCTTGATTGACGAGCAGGGCAACAAGGTAGCGTTTCAGACTGCACCGTAACGCTCGAGCTGATGGCCACTCCTTTGTATCAGTTCATGACGCTTCGTCCTGTTCATGCGTGCGCGTGGAATTCAGGTGCGCGAGCTCAAGAAGGCAGGTGCAGACAGCGCTGTCGTCAAGCAAGAAGTTCAGGTATACAGACATGCTTGCGTGTGTTTGCGCGTGTCTCTCTACCTCTATGTCTGCCTCTCCGTGTGTCTGCGTCTGTATCTTTTTGTCTTGGTGTTTCTGTGAATGTGTGTCTGCAATGGCCGTTTGTGTCAGCACCTGGCGGCTTGACCCACTTTGAGGTTTGGAAAATGCCTTGTCTGACGAGGAAGCTAACCTGCTCAATCCTGTAGGAACTACTCCGCCGCAAGAAGGCTTTGACAGAGGTGACTGGAGAGGGCGACAACGACAAGGGCAAGGCGTCGTCGGGCAAGGACAAGGGCAAGGAATCGTCAAAGGAGACGGCTACCAAGAAAAGCAGCAAGAGCAAGGGAAAGAAGGAGGCCAAGGCCCCCATGGATCCACGAGTGGCGGCAGTTGGTCAGGCAGTGAAGCAACAGGCTGACGAACTCAAGGATCTCAAGGTGGCCAATGCCAGCAGCGCGGCGATTGATGCCGCTCAGGCCAAGCTTGATGCTCTGAAGGCAGAGCTCAAGGCTTTGAAAACGAGCGCCAAGTAGGGATTTTGTTGCCACATGTGTGTCTTTTGAATCGTCCGATTCCAACCTTGTCCATGAGCCTCTTGACGCTCTCCTTGTTTCTGCGAATGACTCGAGCTCCTGGACGAGCCAATTGATGTGTGCCTGCGATTTTGTATGTTTCTCGCGATGCCCTCTTCTCTGATGCCTTCTCCTCTCTCAACACGCGACCCACAAAACCAAACACACAAAGACGACCAAGCGTCAAAAGCAGTTGTCAGCAACAACTTTGTTTGTTTGTGCGTATTTTCGTTTTGCAAGCAAACAAAGTTTCTCACGACGACGACCACGATCACTGCTGACGGACGACTGCAGCGTTGCTAATTGGTGGACCCTCTGGCAGCGTGCCGAAGGAGGGAGCAAGGCAGCGGAGAGGTCGGCAAGGTGTGGTGTGACAACGCTATAACAGGAGCATCGAAAGGGATCAGGGGATCGAGTTCAGCTTATCTGACGTGGTGCGCGTCTGCTCACTCGCCCCTTGCTGCCGACGCGGCACAGGTTGGAGCCATGGATGACGCGTTCTTCAATCCCGCGCTGCTGCGCAAAATACTGCGCAAAGCGCAGCCACAGCGACCTTTTGAGGCGGCCGCCCTTTTCTTTCATCATGTCATGCTTGCAAGCGGCCATCGCCATGAGGACGACGCCGTCAACGTACGTACTTGAGCTGCGTCAGCCGCGTTCTCTCGCGAGCGTGTGCAGTGGCCGGTGAGTCGAAGCCAGGACCTGGCGCTCACGAGCCCGTTTTGAATGCATAGACTGGTGACCAGGTGCCCCCCACGCTGATGGATCACGAGACCGACAATCTGACGACCACATATGCCTCGGATAAGGTGCGCCTTGGACGCCCCACTGCTCAGACCTCTCTGGTGGCTAAACAGCTAATGCCTGTGCTTACACGGTGTGACCTGGCTCGCTTGGACCCTTCCCTTGCCTGGATGGATGCTAATCATTGTAGTTGGAGCTCAAAGTTCTACTCATGGACGGCTTGTTACTCGTTCATGTCATTGTAAGTGGATGCTCTGTCTCCATCGAGTCCGCCTCATTCGCCATCTCATGGACTCAAGTGTGCCACTTTAGAACCAGAGGGGACAACAAGTGAAGATGTTTGAGGTGCCGCTGGACCAGCTGGTCAATGACGGAGCCAATCTGCAAAATCCAAATGCAACGTTCACATTGGATGCCTTTACTTGGGCCAAGAAGCTGGTCGCCGAGGTTGAACATATCAGGTTAGCAGTGCGTGCACGGCGATGTATGCTGTGGTCATGATCAGGCTCAAGCTTTGATACGTGGGCTTGTTGAGGGCTTTGAAACGGGCCATGGGTACACTCGCGCCCTCATACAGCACCATGACCTGGGTCGTTGTACGTATAGCGAGCGCTTGCAAGCGGCCAAGGCAAGCTCGCGGGCCAGTGCCAGCAGCCAGAGTCAACGCAGCGATGGTCCGGGGCCGGATCCCTATGCAGCCCCGGGTCGCTACCGTGACGATCCAAATCGACACCCATTTAGCATTGGACGTGGGGACCTGGAGCCCAACTTTGGCCAGAACCCCATGGGGCCAGGCTCGGGCATGTATGCCGGTCCGGAACACCCAATGTTTGCGGGCCGTTTCCGTCCGGGTGGAGGCGGCGGTGGTACGTGGAAGCCTTTGTTCCTGTACTTGTTTGCTGAACGCTTGCACCGGGCACTCGTTGCACTCTCCTCCTCACGTACACCGGTGTGTTTGCTGTTGCATTTTGCTTCATGTGTATATCCAAAAGGCATCCCAGACGATGTGCCCCCGGGAGCCCGATTTGACCCTGTGACACCATTTGGTGGAGGCATGCACCCAGGCCCTGGCCGAGGGCGTGGTCGAGGCGGTTTTGGTAGGTCATGCTCATGCATGGGCGCTCATTGCTTTTCCGCATCTCCCCTTCAGCGATGCAGCTGCCGCGACCTGTATCAGGTGACCATGTGTGACTGTTCAACATCATAGGCCTTGGGGGGCCAGATCCCGATCATATGCCTCGACCCGGAGGATTTGATCCCTTCTTGTAAAGAGGACTAGGCTTTGTACTGCCAATGACATATGAAAGAGGAAACCTGCGCTTGGAACCGCTCTGCTTGTTGCTGTTTTTGGTCATGATGGTGAGGCCGCTTGCTTGCAGGTTGTGTGAATGTATTTGGTTCTGAAAATTGATGATAATTTCCTTGATCTGAAACCTTTTTGAGCGCCGCTGCTCGGCGGGTGTGGAGGGACCGAGAACGGCGATGAGGAAGATGTACATGTCGAAGCAATTGCACAAAATCATCGAAAACAAGCGTCTACTCTGTGGAGAAAACAAAAAAGAAAAGAAAGCTCTTTCTCTTTCTCTCAATTTGTCTCTCTCTCTCGATCTTATTCATCTTCTCTCTCTTCTCTCCTTAACCATTCATCTTTCTTCTTTCTTCTCTCTCTCTCTCTCTCTCATTCACTTCTCAACCTCAACCTCGACTCGACTTGGCCCGCGTTGGCGTTGGCGTTGGTGTGAAACCTCTCGCAACGGCAGTGCGCGGTTTTGGCTTGGTCGTTCGTGGCGTGCGACCTTTGGTTCGAGCGTCTCTCAACTTGGCACAAGGACCTTGCTTGACATCGGGTTCACGTTTTCGTAGCCGTCATTGCGCCATCGTTGCCATGGCTGAGCCGTTGCGTTCGCGGCCCATGGATGTGCTGGCCCTCCACGAGGCGTTGCGCGACCGCGAGAGTGAGTTTTGACGGCTGCTCGCTCACGATTGGGACTGCTTTGCGGCCATTGCAGGAAGCCCTCGCCCTGTTTGCTCTGAGTGATTGCCTTCTGGCTCGACCTGTCAAGATCTGTTCGATGGTCCCTCGTGCTGGCGCTGATCACGCGCGATTTCCCTTGTGCAGTGCTAGAGGAAGAGTTTGAACGCGCACCGCACATGCTCGTGGGCCCCGATACTCTGCCCAATGATCCTCGCGTGGCCATGAAGAACCGATGTGCGTGCTTTCTTGTCAAGCCCGCGTACGCCAACAAGAGCAGAACGTCAACGCTGCTCACGGCACACTTCTCATTTTTGCGCACGTCTTCGTGACATTGTTTTAGACACCAACATTTTACCCACGCCCGCCACCCGGGTTCCGCTGAGCCAGATTGGCCCAGATGCTCTTTCGACGGTGCGTTTGCCTCGCATACAATCCACACAAGCTCGCCATCACACATGGTTTCGTTTTGACCTCCCTCCCCTTTTGCGCACTGACCTGCCGGCCTCCCAACCACTCCTGCCCACAGTACATGAACGCCAACTTTGTGGACGGCTACAATCAGCCAAAAGAGTTTATTGCGACGCAGGGTCCCAAGCCAGAGACGGTCGATGACTTTTGGTGCGCACCCCGGGCGGCTCACCGTGTCGGACTGGCGCGCAGTGCGCACCAATCTCACTGACCTCTCCACCCGCAGGCGCATGGTCTGGGAGTATCGCTCAGAAGTGGTGGTGATGATGACGGGCATTCGTGAAGGCGGTCGCATCAAGTGCCATCGCTACTGGCCAGAGCATACCGAGGCGCCCCTCGATACACAAAACTTCCAGGTAGGGCCGGCCTCTGCTTGTTGCACTCCACATGCGGTCGCACATACCGCCCAAACCATCAACTCTCCTCGCCGGATTCAAACTCTGGCGCCGCTTGCCGTGTCCCTTATCAAATGCCCGTGCGGTGTCTTCCCACTTTTTTTTTTCACCACAGATCTCGATCGCATCGACGGAGAACATGAAACATTACATTCTGACGAAGCTGACGCTTGAGGTGTGTGAGACCTGCTCATGCACGCGCTGGTGGCATAGTTGTGCCACAGCTCACCATGCCCGGCTGGTCACACCATTGCATCACGTAGCATCGCGCCTCGGGAGCCACGCGGGCCGTGTCGCACTTTTGGTTCACAAACTGGCCGGTACACTAGCACGAGCCCCAATGCTTTGAATTTTTGAGCATTAACATGCCATGTGCTCTGATTTTTATTCTTGCTTGCTTGGTTCATCTGATGGGGCTCAATTGCGGTGCATAGGACCATGGCGTACCTCACGAGACCTGGGAGGTGATTGACCTGGTCAAGGCCGTCCGTCGTGCTCGGACAGATCGTGCACTTCCCGCTGTGGTGCATTGCTCGGCTGGAATTGGCCGCACCGGTATGTGCGCACCTTGCCCACCCCTACTTGTTGTGGTTCAGTCATGACCTATAATGGAGCCAAATCTCGATTGCTCTGCTCTGCACCGCTTGCCTCAAATCCCTGGATCGGCCCCCTTCTCATTGTTCTTCCGTGACCCTTGTAACCTGTGGTGCTGTGCGCTAGGTACCTTTTTGGCCGTGGACATGGGCATTCGCAGCTTGAACAATCCGCACCGCGTTGTGGACGTGTTTGGTGACATGATCAAGCTGCGCACGCAACGAGGCGGCTCGATTCAGACCTTTGTCCAATACCTCTTTGTACATCAAGCCATGAAGGACTATGTGACCCCAGGCAACTCCTTTGGCATGTTTGGTGACAACACGAGCCGTGATGTGGTATGTTCTTTTCTCTTTTTTATTTTGGCTCGTTCGATTGTCGTGGTTGTTAAAACGAGCAAGATGCATTTGGGTTTGCCTGCTCTTGCTTGGCCTGTCATCTGGCCCGTGATCTGGCCCGTATTACTAATGCCGGGCAATCTCGTGTGCTCATCCAAGTGCAGGGCATCATCAAGGGCTCGGCACCCTCCTTTGGCTTCACCATGCGAGGGTCATGGCCTCCCTTTATTCTGCAAGTGGCACCAGGCAGCCCCGCTGAAAAGAGTGTACGTCGATTACATGGTTCAATTCCGTAGCTCGCGAGTCTCAAAAGAGCACAAACACTTGGGACTGGGCATTATCAGACACAATCCCTAATGCACAATGGTATTTCTGGTCACAGGGTGTTTTACCAGGAGATCAAATTTTGGCCATCAACCAGCAGCCCGTGCACAACTTGAAGCACGCCGAAGTGGCGGAGCGGGCCCGACAGTCCGGGGGCGTCATCACACTGACCCTACTCTCGAAGAAGCTGGAAGAGACACTGGCCTGAGCAAATGTCCCAGTTTATCCTCGCGCATCACTCGCCTCTGCCCCAGTTTGATGGCCAAGGGGAAAGGCATGCGAGTGGCGCCGGCGCTCGCGAGCCTGCTGCACATCGTTGCTGTTGCCAGACCTCGCGCACTATTGAATCCAATTGACTCTCCATCATGCAAATGATGCTCAACGTGCACACACATGCACGCTGCGAAAACATTATTAACATGTAAAAAAATTGCTATATAAATAGGGTGCTGCACGATAGTCTAGATCAGCCCAGCCACATCACAATTTTAGGCGCACGCTCGCCTCGGACGTTGATCGGCATCAGTTGCATTGCTCCGAAGCATGGGATTTACAGTCAAGATGGTTTTGACGTCGTGGGCCGGGTGGCGCATCGTGCTTGACTCCAATTCAAGGTCATCTGGAAAGCCCAGACCAAGGCCCTGTGAAGCGTGCGGGTGTCGCATTGGCCAGACACCATCACGAAGGTCGCGAGTGCCAGCACGAGCCCCGGGGGCTTGCAGCGCGAGTGCGAGAAGCAAGGCCACAAAAGCTAGATGACAGAGGTTTGCCATGATGGAGGTCTGTTAAAAAGCTCGTCATTCAAGGGAAAACAAGCCTGTGGCAATTTGAAAATGCCACTGGCACCGCTTCGGCGGCAGAATTGGGCACCGCGCGCAGAGGATCACAGCGGCCAAGTAACGGCGGGCGTAGAGCCAGTGCCGGCTCACATGTGGAGGAAAGCAAGAGAAATAAATCCAAACAGAAACCCCTGAATTGGCCAGCTGGTGAGGAGCGAGTACTTGGTAAGGCGGTCCGGCCCATGAGCTTGAAACGGGATGCATGGCGATTTAGCAAAGCGTATGGCGACGCGTGGCTCATTGAGGCTCGCGACAGCGGCAACCAGTCCCGTTGCCCCTGAGAGGGTTCTGGTTGTCAAGCCCCTGCCTTTTGGGACGGCGGTGGGCTCGGGATCCAGGGACCTGGCGAGGGGAAGTGATGAGTGAAACTTTTGGGACGCTGCAGACACGAGCCAAGTCCTTTTCGTTGGTTTACATGCAAAGACCATAACGCTAGGGTGAAAGAGAGGGCTCGAGAAGTTCGGCGGGTTTCTTGCGAGCACGATTGCCATGTGTATGGCCTGCGTCACCATGCAACGATTACCGCTGCCAGCCCTTCGTGAGCAAGCCACCCCCTGCTGATATAACACGCGCTATCGAATGGCACTGGATATACGCTTTCCTTTGGATGTACGCTTTCATGGATTTGCCTTGATGGACAGTGCGTTCACAGTGAAAAGAGTTGGCGACTGCCATATCGAGGTAGGTGAACCGGAGTTGTGTAGATTGTGTCCGCTGTTTGGCCTCAAGATTGTGCTCGCTTCACACTTGATCCAAGTTGGTCAGTTCAGGGCAGATGGCAGATGAATGGGCAGAGGAGTGGCTGTGTACGCGGTCGTACGTAAACCGTACTTTGGCTTGGTTGTTCTATCCTAAGGTTCGGCGTGAACTTAACCTTGATTCCTCTCAGTTCGCGACGGCTTGGCCCTGGAACGTCGTGTTAGGTCCAAACCAAGAGTACCCTGATGATGCCTGTGCCGAACGACCCCTGTCTCTCGCCTTGACTCACGGCCCTCAGCTCCAAACGACACCCCACCCATCACCCATACACGTCATTTTGATCGTCGAAGAGCACAAGAGCCCAGCTGCACACCCAAAGCATGCTGATCTCCGACAAAAGCCAAAGTCTCACAAGAGATGTGGAAAGGCCCGGATTTGTGCAGTAGACCACTTGCATGAGCAAGAACGCGTCGTGTCTTGTCCAGCCAACCAGCCCCAAACCAGATAGATGGCAGCGGCGTTCAGACCCATCACCACTCTTGCTCGCCGACAAATAGAACAAAGTTTCATCAGATATGCGATGAAACCGAAAGGCCCGCATAGCCCCTGACGTCAGCCCCAGGGGCGTGGAAAGGGGGTCCCATGCCGTAGGGAGGTGAGTTGATCTGCCAGACCCAACAGTTGGCTCTTATTATTCTCAGGTGCCAAGTGGTCAAGGCGAAATAGAGAAGGGGGGTTGCGTGGGGGTGCCACTGTTGGCGTCCTCCTTCCTTCTGCCCCACACCACCTCCTCCTACTCAAGTCTTTCTCGGTGTTTGCCCCCACCACCCTTGCCCCAATCGCACCTGCCGCGCCCCCAACCTTTTCATCAGGACAAACCCAAGCCACCAATTCCAAAGCATGCACCACACCCATTTGCACTCGAGTCTAAGGGTATAACGTCACATCATCACACTTGAAGCCGATGCAGAGCTGCAAAATGTCACAAATTTCTGTGTCCAAACCCAGTTCGCCACTTCTGTCGGGTTGTTTGTTTTTTTGGTGTTGGGAGCAGTTTGTTGGTTGCAAGTCTGGCCAGCTATCAGGAGGAGATGGGTGAGCGAGCGCCCCTCTGATGATGCTGGGCTTGGACGGTGCATGGAGTTGATGCGGGTAGCCGTCGTTGAAAGAAGAATGGGTGGCCCACCCACGCATACCCGGCGCCACCCAACTGCTTCAGCGACAACAACAACATCACGGGCTCAGACCCTGTGGTATGCCTTGGGGTCGCTCGCCCAACGCTCGCTCAACAGCCACACCTTTTCTTCCACCATCAAAATCTCGTCCATTCAGTTCGATCAGCATCTTTCGCTGGTCCGAACACTCCTCGTCTTGGGCTCTAGAGCCCCAACACAAATGCGCGAACCCATGAACCGTTTCCTCCGTTGAGCCATGACGTGTTTCAGCTTTGCCACCAGCAGGCAGACGACAGGCTCATGGTCCTCTGGCACGACACATCGGCAGTTTCTTGCTACCAACATTGCCATCACATACCCTTTCGCTTTCCCAACGCGCACCAACTCGGACCTGAATGATACATCGAGCATGTTTAGCCCCTGCAGCATAGCTGTCCTCTAGCGTTGTCCGCTTGATTACGGCCCGACCACGGCTCGACCACCTCATCAGTCTCACGTCTCATCTCGTCAGCCTCAAGAAAGCTACGTCCTATCCTACTTTTCCAGTCGTCAGGGCAGGAGACCGCGCATTCATCCATTTGCCTCGAAGACTCTCGACCTCCTGTCTCGCTGTGCTCGGCCCTGACAGCCGGCCACTAGACGCCTGTCAGCTTACCGACAAAAAACCCGACGCCATGTTTGGCATCGTTCATGAGGTTGGTCGAAGCATCAATGCTGCGTCGTGGCTGATACGGCAATGTCCCATGACCTTGCTCATTCACCCTCGCTCCACACAACACCCCCCCCCCTCCCCCCTTGCTTCAACCCGCACCCCAGGCGCTCGCTCGTCTCGTCCTGTCCCTGGAAGACGGTCGAGCAAAACTCAAGGTTATCGTTAAGATGGCCGGCTTGCAAGGTGTCGACATCCTCCAGGCCCATGTCAACTACAACGATAAGGACACGCTCATGATTCTAGATGCCGCCTGCAAGGTCTGTTCTCAAACCAACCAGTTATGGCTTCGCCTCCACAGCGTCATTTCAACTCACGACCTTCACGCGCATTCTAAACACACTCTTGCGCTGGCCTTAAGGTCCTCGGGCGGACGCTCGATGATCTCCTGTATCAAGTCGGCATTGCTTTCCTTGACCTCACAGAAGGTGTGTCACCGCCATGTGCCTGCCACGACACCACCCACAATCCCAAGGCACGGCCGCGCCTCTTGGCTCACCTCGCCCGACTCCCACCAGAGCGATCCTATGACAAGTTACTCCTTGCCATGGGCAGCACCTTCCACGAGTTCATGGAGAATCTCGACAACCTCCACCAGTTTCTGAGCCTTATTTACCCGGGTGAGGAGCTCATCGATTCATGCTTGCGCCATAAGGCAACCAACATCCATGCGGCACGCATGCCTTTTCCCCTTCCCCTTCCTGCAGTTCCCCTTGCTCCTTTCTCCTACGCCACTCCTTCTCCCATTACTTGCCATGTCCCTGATCATTTTTGAATCCAATGTGTGGCGTGTACCCCGATAGGCATGCGCGCTCCATCTTTTCGCTGCTCAGAGCGTGTTGATGGTAGTGGCCTTGAACTTCACTATTTCAGCACCCGCGACAACCTTGGCGCGCTCGTGGTGGGCCTCGTCACAGAGGTGGCCCAGCGATACTACAGCATGGAGATTGAAATGACCTACCTGGAACGCAAAGCTCAAGGAGCCCATCATGACGTCTTTTTCATCCAACTCCCCTTCCACTATCGGGCTCGACGTCGCCAAACACTTGAGGCCATCGGCCCCATGGGCAGTGTCTCCGGTCTGACTACGGCCCAAGTAGATGAGCTCTTTCCTTGGCACATTGAATTTGATGAGACCCTTGCCATCCGTAGCCTTGGCACCGCCCTGCACCGCCTCATTCCCAACTTCCACGAGGGCATGTCCTTGAACAAGCTGGTTCGTGTCATACGCCCAGTCCTGACCAAGCTTTCCTTTGACAGCATCTGCAAGCACAACAACGTTTGCTACCTCATGGAGATTCGCAACACGGACACAGAGGAGCCGACCCTTTCGCAATCCAACCTCAGACCTGCCATGAACACGGCCATGATGCCGACTCACGCAGGCCCAATTTCCATGCCTCCTCGCAGCCCCAATATTGCTCTACTCCAACAGCAAGCATGCCCTTTTACGTCCAGCGCCTCTTCGCGTAAGGACTCAGTGGCCTCACTTGCCAGCATGATGACAATCCTTCATGCCACGTCTTGTCTCAAGATGAAGGGCCAGATTTTACAGATTAGCACCTCTCGTGCGCTCTTTCTGGGCTTACCCAGCCTGCGCTCGCTTGAAGATCTTCAAGAGCGTGGTGTCAGCATCTCCGACTTTCCAGCCAGCTCGGGGGCCCGTGACTTTCTGCTGGCCAACAATCATCTTCTTGCTACAATCAACCTGGTGTCCCAGCTCGAAGAAACGACCGCCTTCCTCGATCGCGCCCTGGCGGACGTGCGCATCGAAAAGGACAAGAGTGAAGCGCTCCTTCACACCATGCTACCCGAGTCCATCGCCTCTCGCCTAGCTGAGGGCAGCAGTGTTGAGCCGAAAGAATACGACACTTGCGCCATGCTCTTCAGTGACATTTGCTCGTTCACTAGTATGAGCGCCCAAGTGTCTCCCAAGGCGGTACGTGCGCACTCGATTGTTCTGGGCTGTTAAAATCTCTTGTGCTCATCTTGCCTTCTTCTACGCGCCTTCTCATTGTGACTCGGTGCTTTAGATTATGGAGATGCTTGACGAACTTTTCCTCGGTTTTGATCGCCTCTGTGACAAGCATGGCGTTTATAAGTGAGAGCCGGCACTGTTGACTGTGCATCTACCCCGGAGCCCTATCGCTAGCACCTGCCCGAGCGCTCATCACACGCCTGTGCGTCGTTTCTCAATAGATATGAGACTATTGGAGATTGTTTTATCGTGGCCACTGGTTTACCCGAGCCCGATGAACTTTATGCAGCCCGCATTGCTGCTTTTGCCATTGATCTCGTCAAATTCAGCAGCACGGTCATGTCTCCTGCCGATGGAAAACCTTTATCCGTTCGCTGTGGTTTCAACTGCGGCCCTGTCGTCACAGGTCCGGTCCGACTCGTTGATTGTTTTGCTCGTCTTTTTGTTGTTTTTCGTTGAGCTTCCGGTTTTCGGTTTCTCCTCGCAGTGCTGGATGCTGGATGCGAGGCATGCTTCTCACATCTGCAACGCCTCACTCGAAACAGGTATTGTTGGCAAGGAACGACCAAAGTTCAACATCCTTGGCGATTGCGTCAATACAGCCTCGCGCATGGAGAGTACAGGCGTACCCAACTGTATCCAGCTGACCGAGCACATGCGCGACATGATTGTAGCCCAGAACCCGGCTTTCCGATTTGTGGCTCGCAAGGGTGGCGTCAAGGCCAAGGGCAAAGGACACATGCAAACCTATTTCCTCGTTGGGTACGAGCAGGTGGACGCCGAGCTCCTTCCACCTCCCATGTTTATTGAGCAAAACCTGCTGGACTCGGCATATACCTCCGTGGGCAGTCAAGAGGAGAGTATGCCCAGTGTGCAGCCCTCGCCGTTTACACAATCATCTCTCATCCGCCGCCGGATGACATCAATTGTGTAACCTGTATTTTGACAATGGCGCGCCTTCAAGCCCTTTGGATATATTCTGCAGCCCACCTGGTGGCCTTTCACATTTTCAGCCCTCTGCGCCGATAAAGCCTCTGCAATCTGGCTCATTCTCAAGCAGTTTTGGCGCAATAATATTGGATGACAGCTGTGCTGTCGGCATATGCAGAGCATGTGCCAGGGTTCTGATACCTTATTTTGATACAATCTTGTGAATCTTGTTTATACCGTTTTGTGAAGAGACAGTCCACATAACCTCCGAATGATGCGAACACCAATAACTGGCGTCATTTTGTTTTTTCTTGATAACTTTGGCCTACTCGTGAGTTCAGCGGCCTTGGAACTCATCCCAAATCATGATACGAATAGAAGACATGCAATCGATTGTTTATGGCAGGTATGCAATGTCTGACACGGGAAGATTTGGGAACATCGCTTTGCACGTCACAACTCACATTGGGAATGCGGCACGGGATGACACTCCAGAGGATGCGTGAACATTCATATGTGCAGATCATGTTGAGCCACCAAACAGTCTCTGAGAAGCAGTCATTACTCTAGAAAAACGATGAGGACCATAAAGAGAATGCCCACGATAATGGCCACCAATTCCTTGACGGTTTGAATCGCGGTGCTCTCCTATTCAAGCGTGCGCAAAAATTCAACGTCAGCATGCATGCCAAAGCTTGCAAAGACCTCAGTGCCGCCAAGGCGTCTGAACAATTCGGCATCGATCAGAGGGAACCCTGACGCGAACCTCAAGCAGCTCCGGTAGAATGGATACGGTAGCAATGTAGATGAACCCGCCCGCCGTAAACAGCAAGATGAAAGGAGTCAGCTACTCCCACATGAACACAAGTTGAGAAGCAGGCCAGGTGAGCTCGTACAAACCTTTCACAATGTACAATGGATGCAAGGGCTGAAACAGGGAAGACCAGTCACGCAAAAGGGAGCAAAGACAACGTACACCACCGAGCTCCGCACTCAAAAGGCCAGCAACCGTGCCCAGGAGTGCACCGATGGCGGTGGTAAGCTGAAGCCAGATCGCCTACGCACATTGGCAGTCAGTGGTAGACTGATTGAGTTGTGCTCACCGTCTCTTCCCAGATCGGAAGACAGCCGGCTTGCCTCTGCAGATGAGCAAAGATGCACAAACGTACTTTCTTCTTGGAGCAGCCTGATTGAATAAGAATGGCAAAGTCACCAATCTCATGGGGTACCTGAGTGAAGTAGGTGAGCACATGGTCAAGTGGGCTGCAGACAGCGTGCAAGCAGGAGACAAGTGTTTTGAATCAAGAGTCGGCTAACTGACCTCGTGCAAAAGAATAGTCACCACAGTCGTGAAGGCCAGGGCCGAGTTGGTGGCAAAGCTGGCGCCGATGGCCAACCCATCTGTGAAATTGTGCACAAAATCAGCAGCCAGGTTTAGATATCCGGCAACCGCCATCTGAGGCACTGCCGTAGTGACTGCGGTGGTCTTCTTTGTCTCGCTCTTCTCCTTGGGGGCAGCTATATGATGCAGATGAACATCAAATAAAAATAGGCCAGCCACATGAGGATGCAACAAGATGACAATGTCGAGGAGCGCGCTGTGCGACGCTTGCTTCAAACATACCTGCGGCGTGTGAGTGGCCGTGACCGCCAGACGGATTCAGGCTGCGCATCATCTACAACAGATAATAGGGATTTGTGAAGGCATGTCTGCTTTCAGCCCGTGTAGAGCACAAAAATGTTTTGTCCTCAAAGCAATAAGAGAACAAGAGCCACGCATACTTTTTCCACGAGAAGGAATGTCAGAATGCCGGCAAGCAAGCTCAAGCCGGAGAGGAGGTCGCCAGAATGATCGTGACCTTCACCATCAGTGCCGTGACTATGACCGTGGCTATGGCCATGACCATGGCTGTGTCCCCCTACGCCCGAGCAAGACAGTTGGGCTGTTACACAAGCGGAACGTGGCAGCGCAAACGCCAGGAGAAGGAGGTGACGAGATTTTGAAAAGGAAGGGCGAGTTTGCCCAGTGTTTGCTTCTCGTACCAGCCATATCTGCTGAGGCATGTGGCATAAGGTGGAGGATAGCATCACCAAGAAGTCCGCCCGCAGCAAAGGCCAGCAAGACCTGCACGTGATCATGGGAGAAAAATGTGGGGCGGCGGGAGGGAGGAAGAAAAAGGTAAGGAAGGACGAGTGCTTGTTTGGCACCCAACTTGGTATGAGGAACAACTTTGAGACCTTGAGAAGAGATTGAGCAGAAGGGTGGGAGGGATCGAGTGGCACCACAAGCAACAAGGCTGCAGGTACAGCACTAATCAGGACGGTGCTTCCAAGCGCCTGAAGCCAGATGGTGGTGTCGATGAGTGAGCCCGTCGAGGCAATTGGGACTTGATCATGATCTTCATGGGCATGGGCATGGGCATGAGCATGGGCATGTCCATCCTCATGGGTATGCTTGTGCTCGTGAGCGTGATGATGGGCAGCGTGATCGTGCGCGTGGGCGTGTTCATGACCGTGGTGGTCATGGTCGTGGTCGTGGGCGTGAGCATGACCGTGGTCGTGAGCGTGGGCATGACCGTGGTCGTGGGCGTGGGCATGACCGTGGTGGTCGTGAGCGTGGGCATGGGCGGCCGGCTGCTCATTGGCTGCTCGAGACCAGCTGCACACGTCATTGCGTCGTCAATAAACATAGAGGAGGGAGCAAAGCCCATCAAAAAAATCAAAGTTGGCGCTTGAGCCGTGATGTTGATCAAACCCTACGCTGTGAGGTAAGGACAACGGACTGCTTACCGTGCCTTGCCAGCAGCCACGTCGTGCGCCTGAGCCTGCACCACCAGCGCGAGAGCCAGTGCAAGAGCCGGCAGAATGAAGCGCATCGCGCGGGTCATGGTAAACGGTTGTTGGCCCACGTTGAGAGGATGCTAAGTGTGCGCGTGTAGCAAAGCAGGGAGACGTGAGTTGCATCTCAGCGTTTGTGCACGACTCTCTCTCCCTCTCTCTCCCTCTCTCTCCCTCTCTCTCTCTCTCTCTCTCTCGCCTTTCGTCGGATCCGAGCTGCCACGCGTCGCGACAGCCATCCAACGCAACGGCCACCTGCCTCAAGCTCTGACGATCAGAGCTAACACTACCCCTTCCCCAAGGCTCCGTCCCTCTCAGCCTCTCGCATCCTCACTCTCTCCTCTCTCCCCTCTCCCCTCTCCCCTTTTCAAGACAGATCCTGCATTCAACCTCCTTGTCCCTCACTTCGCCCTGTCGCAGACTCACCTATGTGACCCAAAAAAAAAAAAAGTCACTGACTGTGAACAAAAAAAGAAAAAGAAAAACAAAGTCAGTCAACACACAACGTCATCTTTTGAATTTTGGCAATTGGTCGTGCGTGCGGTACGTGGGCGTTGGGGGGGGGGGGGGGAAGGGTGGGCGAGGGTGAGGGATCGCCGTCTGCCAGCAGTCGGATCGCATGTCCTTCCTCTCTCTACACCCTTCCTGAGACAAGAAGAAGGATTGTCTTTGGGGAAGTTTGATTCAATTACGTAGGGCCAAGAGCGCATGTTATAGTCGTGGCCAAGTGTGAGGCTGTCTGTTATGATTATCTGTAAATGATCCCCCAGGCGGCTCTTCCGTAGCCGCGGCAGGTTCGATGGAAACCTGATTTTGTTTCTGCATGTGGGTCCCTCAGTTTGCAGCCGTTGCAAACGTGTATGCGTATCCCATGAGCAGACTCGATGCTCATAGAGAGGCGGAGGATAAAGACATGCTGGCGCGCGGGAGTCGATGCGTTGGTCATGCAGCGTGTCGGTGAGGTTAGATGGTCTGGCTCCGTTTACTTCTTGCGCGTGACACGCGCGGGCTCTTGATGCTGTTGGCCGCTGTTCGCCGTTGGCCACGGCTCGTGCAGGCGGGTGCGATCATGGGCACGTGGCCTAGATTATGGTGCGACCGGCCATCGCCGTCGCCACATCAATGGGGGCCTGTGGCTGCTTGGGCATGTCGTAAATGGTCACATCAACATCCTTGAATGAACCAGTGCGCCCTCGCGCCTCCATGTCGGGGGTCATGCATGTCAGCGGTGCTTGCTTCACCAGCGGGTCGTTTTTGCTGTGCAGTGCGCTGCTAATCACACCCCGGTCCTGAAAGAAAACGGGGACGGCGCTGCTCATCCCCACCAGGTATCCACGGAACGTGTAGAAGGCGACCATGAGATCGGAGCCCATGGCCGGTAGGTGCCTTTCAAACGTTTCGACAAGAACTTTCATGGCCACGTCGTCAAAGACGATGCTGTGGTGGCACAGGCTAAACAGGTCGTGGACTAGCCCGTTGGGGTAGTTGACCTGGAGATCACAAAATGCCAGGCACCGACCCAGGTTCAAGATATTCCATGTCCGCGGTAGGCTCCCCCACATCTCCGCGATCTGCCGCTGTATCCGCTCCACATTCAGCTGCAAAAAGTTCAAGTCATCTTCAAAGAACAGCAATCGCGTTGCCCCCGCCTTGAGCGCGCACTTGAACACGTCGCGCTTCGTATGTAATAATGCCAGCTTGTTTGTCCCGTTGCTAGCAACGTCCAGTCGTTGTATGTACTCTTGCTCGACTGGATGGAGCTTGGCACTTGCAAGGGCCTCTGTTCCCGTGTGAACGTCGAACAGCAGCGCGTCCACGTTCAAGTGATCGAGAAACGCCTGTACATGCTCGCGCCGCTCTGACAGCGTCGCCACCACAATCCGATCAACGTAGCGATAGAGCCAGTTGTGTGGTGCCGGGTGGGAGTGGTTGGCGGCATTCTGGCTGGTGTAGAGCTGTTCGCGGCTGAATGCCAGGGTCGCTGTCGCAGGGAGGTGGGCGAGCGTCGTGGCAAGGCGTTCCGGCACAGCTTGAGCATGAAGGGAAACAGCAACCCCAACCCATGTGACCAGGAACAACCACACGCAGCGTACGCTAACTGCCCTGCTGTATGCCTTCATCCTTGACGTTGTACGCTGTCGACCGAGCAAGCCGCTAGTTCCCCACGATGCCATATCAGCGATCCTGCCTCCTCATTCTCACAGTTGACCTGAAGACCAGGAAATGCGAAAAAAATAAAATAAAACAGCAGTTTTGTGTGTGTGTGTTTCTTTGTTGTTCATTCGTTGTCTTTGACAGTTTGAGCCTCCTCATGTTTTTGAAGAGGTTACTTTGTTTATGGATGGATGGGCAGGTGGGACTCTGGGTTGGTTGGGCTGCAGTGCAATGCAAGCAGGATTGGATCTTATGGTACGAGGCACGAAGCGGCAGCAGGCAGCAACACACATGATGCACCGTACCTTCAAAGTTATCAACAACAAGGCAACGAACAAACGACCAAAAAAAAAAAAAAAGAAAAAAAAAAAAAGGGGAAAATGGATAAAAATTCGACATAAATTCAGAAAAATTGGTACGTGCAGCCTCTTGCTGTCCGCCTCGACCATTTGCAACGTCACTCGTTAACACGCCAACGGCAAACACCATCAGCATTCCGGCTCGGAGCCAGGATCCGGCAGGTGACGAACGGATACAACCTCTCCTGCTTGCCTTTCCACTGCAAAACTGATCTGAGAGGCTGTGGACGGAACATCAATGATCGTCGGCTCCGTAGACCCTGAGCGAGTCCGTGTTCGTACGCTCACGCGACGAGGCGGAGGTGCTAGCTTCCGGGTGGGAGTTGGCGGTTCCACAGACACTTGATTGTCATACAGCGTGTCCTCAGCTGCAGTCGCTTGATCTTCATGAGATCTCGAAGTGACGGGTTCTTGAAGTAACCGCGGGTCCGGTTGGGCCTCTGGCGTAGGCACGGAGGTCGCATCGCCCTGCAGCAATTCGTCTGGGGGAGGTGGCAGGGCCGAAAGATCATCCAAGTCTCCGAGTGGCTCGCCCACGGTGGTCAACAAGACCGCGCCTCGGCCACCTAGGCGCACATCGCTCATCGCACGTTCCAAGGGTGCAGTTGATGACGAACGCACAGGTGCAGTGCTGGGTCGGGAAGCGGCCATGGGCGGCGGGGGTGGAGCAGGCCGGGATGGACGCGGGGTGGGCAGAGGAATTGATGTGATGTCGGCTTCATTGATCTCAGCGTAAACGTGATGGCGAGCACGCTGACCTGTTAATGGGCGCGTCGAAACGGGACCGCCAGCCGGTTCGAGGGTCGCCGCCGTGACATCGCGAGGCTGGGGCGGTGAGAACGTGGGGGGCGTGGCAGTCTGGCCCGACGGATGAGCTCTGCCAGCCACAGCCCCAGAGCGAAGTTCGTTGACTTGGGGCGAGGTGATTGGCGTGGGAGCCCAGGAGCTTTGCGCAGATCCCTCAGCCGTGGACGGAGAGTCGCGACCCGGCAGGCCCAACCCATCCATCAAGTGCTGCCTCGTAAAGTCGATCGGCTGCGAAAGAATCTGGGGAAGCAGACCATCGGCGGCTGCAGTCAACAGGTAGGTAGCCGACACTTGCTGTCGCGCCTGGGCCTCAAGCAGCGGCGTTAAATTTCGGTCGTTGATGGCGGTCAACATGGCATTGCGGCGCAATAGAAGACGCAACATTGTCACATGGCCAGCAGCAGCTGCTGCATGCAATGCCGTGCGGCCATCTACCACTGCCTGTACGTTGACGCCATTGCGCAGCATAAAATCCACAGCGAGGAGGTTGTCTGAGGCAGCAGCCGCCACGAGACTGGCTTCTGCAACGGGGTCGCGCTGCAAGCCTGGCAGAACAAGATCCTGCAATAGCTGGTAACTGGTGAGAGTCCGACCTTGATCGCTCTGCACCAACGCCTGCAAATGTCGCTTTGCGTCTGACTTGTTGGGCGGCTCGGCAAAAACCAGATCGACGTATTTGTCTTGAAGAAAGAGGAGCATGTCTGCGGCCAGGCCCACAGCGGCCTGACGCGCGCGCTCGGCCTCAGCATGGCGGGCTTCAAACACTTCATTAAACGCGACGTTGCCAATGTGCTGAAGCTGCACGACGTCAGCCAAGTGCATGTTGGCCACAGTTGGCAGGTGCATGATGGCATCACCGTGCGCTGCCATCAAGACACGGCCCTGGTGATCGGGAAGCACCGTAGGATTGGGATTGGCGGGAGTGGGTGTGGACGGTGTCGACCCGATGAACGAAGGTCGCGCCGCGAGGCAGAGCTAAGGAACACACAGGTCAAGCGCACGCGGCAATCAAACATCAGCACCCAAAAAGCAAAGCTCAAGCACGCGTGGTTGAACCCAAGAGGCTGCAGATGACCAACGACACCGAGGAGATTATGTTGAAGTCACACAGAAACAACAAGCGGGCACCTCCTGCGAGGTTGTAGCCAAAGTCAAAGGGCCGTCGTACACAAACAGACCTGTCGGTGTAGCTCGGCACACCCGGTACACACAAGAATGCCCAGATCGCAGAGCGCCACCATGGGTTTGGGCGAGGCACAGTCCGCACAAGCGTCATTTCCTGCAACAAAGAGGCGCGAGTGGGGCCACAATATTGTCAGGAAAAACCCAGTCGCTTTTCTTCAGCGCAACACGACGGCGCGCTCAGCAACAACACCACCTCGCGCAAAACGACACCATCGAGGCAAGTCTCATGAAAGTCACTCTCACCGGGCTTGTTGAGCACATCGGCAATGTATGCAAAATGGGATCCTGGCAGCTGCTCCAGCCAAGTCGTGGCCTCCTGAGCACAGCACAAGGCAGCCAAAAAAAAAAAGAGCCACATCATCAAAGAGCGTGGTCAGATACCGCAGCCGATGAAATGCGACCCATGTGATCACCAGAAACGTAAAACCTCTCCTCAACACACAACTCGAGCCCTCTGAGTGCTTTCTTTCTCCTTCTACTGTACGTGCGGCTCCCACCTGAAGTTGTGTCGGAGTGCCAAGCGAATTCGTGCGACGATGGCGGGATGAGCGGCGCCGCGACAAAACCTCGCCCTGCTGCAAGAATTGCTGTGTTTGCTTTTCGCAATGGAACACCTAGAGAAGGCGCCAAGAGCATTCCCAGTCCGAAAGTGAGATGCAACACCCGCCAAGCACGCTAGCTACACGGACCGAGGTGGGATGTTCGCGGAGTCCAAACCTGCTGTTGCAAGTCCGCAGTGAGTGACACAAGCAGTGCCTGGCGCCGCTGAGCTGCTGCTTTGGCTTCATTGAGCGCCAAAGTGGCGTTTTCAATGTCCGGCAGGAGCTGTAGCAAGGATTGGCTGCAAGCCTACGAGAACAGCGTCCTCATGAAAAGCCGAAGCGGGTCTCAGAGGGGGCGTGCAAGTCGCAGACGGAGCCAAGTTGAAGCAAACACACATACGGCGTGATAGGTTTGACGAAGCTTGAAGAGGTGGAGCAGGGCCAGAGGCAAGTCGACGTGATAAGTGTCGTAGAGGCGGTAGGACTTTTGCAGGTGCTCGCAGACAGCTTGTTGTAAGATGCGCTGATGCGTTTGCTCCCCCAGCTGCCGAAGAGGAGCTGAATGGTTCCTGATTGGACGCGTGGGCCAAGTGTGAGCACACCATTACCCTACTGGAACATCCGCGGGTGCGAAGCCCGAGCCCGTCTTTTCATTGAAGCAGAGCATGCTCGGTTGGGGCCTCTGCTAGGATGCCGCAAAATGACATGGTCAGGACTGACTTTCTTTTTGACTTTTCCTTGTCAAATTGCTTCATCCAACGCTCCAATTGCTTCCTGAGAGCAGAGGCATGAGCCCAAAGACAAGAGCAGATGAGCATGTGCATAAATACGAGTGTGCTTGTGAGTCGGCACACATGACGTTCTGGCTTGTGCTTCTCGAAGAAAGTCGTGTTGAGGGTCAGCGTCCCGTACTTGAGTTGATCAAAATTGTCCTCAAGCTCGAGGGGTCCAAGGTGTCGTTGAAGAACGGCTTTACAACCCTGATTGAGTTGTTGGCGGTGGGCTTCCACAGCTATACTCAACCCGTTCCAGGCACGTGGGGATGAGGATTTATCAGCGCGGCTCGAGGCAAGGCAATGTAAAGTCAGGCTCACCTTGTATGCTCTTTTCGAGATTCTGATAAATGGTTGCTGCGGACCCAGCAAGGCCATGCTTCTCCATCTGTTGCACCAGTTTGGAGAGCGTATCGACAAAGATCTGGAGAGTGGTTGGGGTGCAGCAGCGGCTCATCAGCTCGGCTCACACGAGACGGGCGTGAGGACACTAGCTGGTCGTTTTGCTTGGATGCATGAGGCGAACCTGATTAGGAGTGGCAGGCTGCAGCAGTTCATGAGCCGCCTGGATAAGTTTGAGCAATGGAGGCTCGTCCAACGTGAGGGCCTGTAGTACATCAGTGGACAGGTCGTTGTCGGTACAGTGATCTAGCGTCGAGCTCACGACCTGTGCCAGCCAATGAGGTTGTAAGTGCGGATCGGGCGGTGCCATCAAGAGGTTTGGAGACGAAGGGGCTGGATACGAAGAGGCTCTTCAGTCACGCACATCCTGGCTGCGCACATCTGCCAGCAATTCCGGAAGGGGCAGCATCGCGGCGGATGTGGAGCCGTCTTTGACATCAAATGCCACCCCTGACCCTTGGTGAAACGGCACGGGCCCCGCACCGAGCCTGTAGCACCGTTCGTGAGTGTGGGTGAAGAGGCAAGTCAGAGCGCCAAGCCTTCGCTCTTGCCGAAAAAGTCGCAAGCGACTGTGACAGGATGTGCCAACGTCAGCCAGCTCACCAACCCTCAACGTCAGACCCGTTCCGCCCCTCCCCGACCTGCCCAGCAACTGACGTCTCTTTGGCTGCGCGAGTCGACCACGTACCAATCGAGCGTCGATCACTCAACCAACAAACCATGCCCCCGCCCCCTACCGCGACAGCAAAAAGAGAGCAAAACAACAACAAAAAAAATTTGGGAAAAATTTTAACACACACACACACACACACACACACACACACACACACTGAGGGAGAAAAAAAAAAGGGCTCAACGATGTGAGGGGCAAAAAGTTAAGTTCAAGGATGTCGGACCGCGGAATCGAACCGCGATTGTCACGGCCACAACGTGAAGTGCTACCATTACACCAGTCCGACCGGATCGGTTGTTGGCCATCCTTGAGACCTGGTGAACCATCATGTGGTTATCTGCCCAGACGTAAAATATTATATATAAATGGCATAAAAAATTGACCCGGATAATCATGTCTGACAAAATATCTGACAATACACCTGCTGTCTTTTCTGTTGGCTTGGCAGACAGGGGAAAAAAAAAAACCATCGTGGTTCAGAAAAAAAAAACCATCGTAGTTCAGACACACCAAATGACCAGACACACAATGACCTGCCCGACTCAACTTGCTGCAGTAGAGGAGAGCAAAAGAATAAAAAGACAAAACAACAAAACGTTAAGTTCAAGGATGTCGGACCGCGGAATCGAACCGCGATTGTCACGGCCACAACGTGAAGTGCTACCATTACACCAGTCCGACCGGATCGGTTGTTGGCCATCCTTGATACCTGGTGAACCACTTTAAAGGTTAGCGCGCGCCCGAAAAAGTTTCCTTATGACCGAAGCCATCACTTTTGTTGCAAGAAAAAACCTCGCAAAAATACAGACGAAAGCTGTCTCGAAACGTATTTCCATGTTGAGCAGAAAACAACAAAAAGTTAAGTTCAAGGATGTCGGACCGCGGAATCGAACCGCGATTGTCACGGCCACAACGTGAAGTGCTACCATTACACCAGTCCGACCGGATCGGTTGTTGGCCATCCTTGAGACCTGGTGAACCATCATGTGGTTAGCAGCGTCAGGGATAATATGGTATATAAAGCAAGAAATATTGAGACAGCAAAATTTGTCATCATTTCTTCCTTTCTTCGTTCCTGCCTTCTTGGGTAGAGGCGAAAAGTGGTGCGTGAAGGTGGTGCGTGAATTGAAGGTTGATCATCGTGTCATGTAACAAGAGGAGGGCTGTGATTAGAATGGCTTAAGATACTTGCGGGGCACGTAGCCACGCCTACACAAAACAACGCGAAAGATGATGGTGTAGACTCATTAAAACGAGCAAGTTTGGCAGGAGCTCATGGGTTGGCGCACGGGCTCATGTTCAACGTACTGTCGCGTCACCAAATTGGTGATCAGTTGCCATTCGCCGCGGGGCGGCTGTTCTAAACGAACATCGTCGCCCTGATTGCCCAAGGCCAATGCCACAACACCGGTGCACTTTGGTGAGAGCGCGTCGGCCGATGCCTAGGACAGCAATTCTTTGCATCTGACTGTGACGACGGAGACGGGAGACCCAATCGCACCTTTGCCATGCTGATTTGGTTGTTACCGCCCGCTTGGAAAGCGTAGCGGGCCTTGTAAATTTGCCTTTCAAACTCGTATTGCGACACACGGCGCTCACGACGCAAGCGGCGGGCCTCAGCATCATCGCCTTCGTCGCGGTGACGTCGTCGCACGGGCGCCTCTTGTGCATAGTACTCATAGCCATCAGTAGCCCGAGAAGGACCTCGACCATATGGCGCAGACTGCGCGCGAGGGTGAGGATCTTGGTCGTAGCGCGGACCTCCAGCAGTCCGCTCTTCGGACACCAAGCGATATCCATCAAAGTCGTTGGGATCATCCTCATAGTCTCGAGGCAGGGACACATCAGGATAGGCCTGCGCGCGTCGCGACTGAGCGGGTGGGTACACATCGCGCGTGTATTGGTCTGCGCTGCGACGATCTGAGTAAGGATCACGACGTCGGTGATCAGCGGCAGGTGCGCGTCGGTCATCACGCGCAGCGGGCTCGCGGGCTGATGGTGGAAGCCAGCTATCACGGGCCGGTGCGCGGTCTTCGGCGCTCACGAAGAGGGCTTCGCGAGATGCCGACCCACGCGGCATGCGAGTGTCTGGTAGAGGGGAATCTGCCTCCCGGTGCAGCTGGAAAGGCATGTGCACGAGATTATATTCATGAGCGCACGGGCTTGACAAGGAGAGAATCGCACCAATCATAAAATCAGGATGTTGTTTGACCCGTGGCAATAGGACTAGTAAAGCTCTCTGCATCTAACTCACCGGTTCATGGCCATCATCAAACGCTGCCGTAGCTGGTTGTGCCTGTTCATAGCAGAGACTGTGAGCTGTGGTGCTAACCAAGTTCGAGCGCAAGTAGAAGGCGAGGGCCCAACCGCCACCAGCCAAGTCGACACAAAAGCACAAAAGTCACGAGGCAAACTCCTTCTTGTTTTGTGAACGACAGTTCAGGCGTGAAAGAGGCTCGTGGGCACAAGATTCTTTGATTGATACCTCGGCATAAACATTGACAAAATTGTGGCTATTGCGCTTCTGTTTGCCCCGCCCTTTTGGTTCGCGGAAGCCTATGTGGGAACCGTCAATGTGTGCAACGATGAGCAATAATCTGTGGGGCTCGACAAGAGGTTGCTCAAGCCCATCTCCCTCATCGCAAGAGCAACGTTCAGTGGCCACATACTGCGCGGGTTGACTGTGCTGGGTGGCGGCAGCACGCGATTTGCGGGCTGCTCAAAGGCGTGCGCATGATGCTGGGATGCGGGTAGCGAGCGCCACACAAGGTTGCAGACAAGATCAAAGTAAGTGTTTATCTGGGCTACAAACAAAGGGTCCGGCAGGGTGCGATGCGATGCGAGGGTTCGGTGGTTTTTTTCTGAGAGAAAGAAACGAAAAAAAAAAGAAAAAAGAAGAAAAAAAAAGAAAAAAGAAAAAAAGAAGAACATCTAGGTCCTATTACGATCGTTTTTACCTGCGAGCGTCGTTCTTCGGGTTCATCGTCGTCATCATCGTCTTCTTCCTCGGCACCAATACCCGCCGGGCGGGTGCCCGCAACACGATAGCTGCCCTGACGCCGAGCTGAGCCGTGTCCGCGAAAGCTACGGCCTTGCGTAGGTTCTTCATCCTCATCTTCGTCCTCATCCTCAGCACCTGCGGCATCAGCCCGTGTATTGCGGCGGGGTATGCGCGGCGCTTCGACAGCGGGTACTAGCTCATCTTCGTCGTAGCCTTCGGTGAGATCTACCAGCGGGCCGTATGTTTTGATCAGGTTGCTGATCTGCTGTCGATGCTATAAATGGCAGCCCATGCATCAAGCGGTCAGTCAGTCAGCAAGGAACCAGCCCGTCGGGCAATGAAGGATGTGCAAAAGCAGAACAGATCAACACAGCAGACAAAGCAAAAGCCATTGCCGAGCAAGAGAATGCCTAGACTCACGCGCTGAACGCCAACAGCAGCCTGATTCATGAATAAAACGGCTGCCAGTGCAGGTTGAAGGCGCTTCGCCGCTTCATCCATGAGCTGCAAAGCGAGGTGAGACGGTTATGAGGGCATGAGGTGGGCCTGCCATCAGACCAAGAACAAAAATTCTGTGCACAGTTTTCAGGACCTCGCTGGCGTAAGTTTGAAGCACGTCCTTGAGATGGGCTTGAGAATACTCCAATTCCTTCATGGGCTGTAACAGGACACGAACGAGTCACGGACGAAATTTGATGTGAGTAAGGGCGCAACACGAGCCACGTCTATAGGACATGGGGCAGCTGTTTATAGGAACCGGTCGTACTCCATCGACGGGGCCACCTTTGGCCTTGCGCACGCTGTGATCAAACTGTTTTTGCTTTTCCTTGCATTGCTAATCAGACACACCGAGCCACCGCACCAAGCAACAGCAGCCAGCAAGATTTAGCCATACGATGCTGAAAAAGGCACGATTCAAAGTCAAAGCGGCCTGGCAAAAACCTCACCTTTTCAGCGTCCTTGACAAGCTGTGCCTGGGTCTTGATGACTTCCTGCAGAGTTGGCCATGATGTGCGAAGCGCGCTGGTGAGTCATGCTCGGGTGCAGCAAAACAAGCAAGGAAGGGATTCTCAGAGCAGGCGAGGGCAGGGGCAAGAGCAGAAGGAAAACGTGCATTGAGGCGACCGTTGAATTCATTCACTTCCTGCGTCATGGCCTCGACCAGCTTGAGATCAACGGCTTCCTCCTAAAAGGCACCGACAAAACACCGTAGTTTTAGCCTCGGGTGCTGTTACTGTGGCCATGATTGAGGATTGCTGCTTTCTTTCCCTCCTTTCTTGATGCAACCCCGCGTGTCACAGAGATGTGCCGTGTGCGACGAACCAAGGCCTCTCGGCTCTCGAAAACATCATGAAGCGTGCGCACGCCGATGCGAAAGCCATCCGCTGGGGGTTTCAATGGAGGCAGGGCAGAGTACAGGTCGTAAGGGGCTTTCGTTGGCCAGCGGGCCGTCGAGTGGCATGGGCGAGACCTAAGCAGGGTTCGTACTGTGTTGACGAATTTGATGGTCGTCGGCAACCTCGTGTAACAGTGGGGAGGCTTGCTGAATCTGACTCAGCGTTTCGATAAGGCCTCGCTCGGCATCATGGACGTCTATTCGGCGCACCAGGGTCAGGTGGGGTTGGCAGAGGCCAAGGACGGTTGCATGGGCCGAAAGGGGCGGGCAAGGATAGCAAAAGCTCGTCAACGAACGCTCAAGCTTCTTCAAGTAGTCACCGGCCTGCTTGATGAGCTTGCGGTAGAGATTGGTGCCAGACTTGAGACTCTGAGCATGCGGGTGCAAGCAGTGGACCGGGATGAGGCATCAGGGGTCACTGCCAGGTGTTGCGTGCTGGGCAGCAGGTCAGGAGGCGGGGCATACGGAAACGCATTGCTTGATATTGCCATCCACTTCTTCCGTACTGTTGGCAGGAACCGACATGACGTCCGCTACTGCTATCGTGAGCTGCTCCAGCTCCGCCCCTTTCGTTGCCTGCACCTGATTCTAGATGCTGACGCTCACATGCAACGCAGGGTGAGCGAGCCACATGAAGCTTGATGATAATTTCAGTACATATGAACCAAGGGCCCAAGACGTTCATATCAGCCTCTACCTCGAGCTGCCACTTACCCGCTGCCGTTTTCAGTCTCTCTCTGTCTCAGCTTTTGGCTCTTGTGCAACACACACAAAACGAAGAAACAGAGGGATGGTGAAACAGAGAGATGGTGAAAGAAAGAAAGAGAGAGACACACACAGACACACACATACAGCGAGACACAGAGAGACAGAGAGAGAGAAAGAGAGCGAGAGAGACAACAGAGAACGGCATAAACAACAGAGAACGGCTGAAATCATACACATGTATCTATGCTACGAAAAAACTGTCATTAGCAACGACAAGCGCTAGGGATTTGAATAGGGAACATACAGACATGCTTCATAAACCCTGAAATCATCTGCATTAAACCACGGCTTGCTCTGCTAGAAGCTTCGAAAAAAAGACTTTGGTATAAGTATTTTACTTTCACAGTGGTAAGAAAGGTCTCATCTTTGAAAAAAAGAAAAAAAAGAAGAAAAAGAAAAGAAGAACGAGTGCGTGAAACGGCAGCGCGGGGGAGTGCTAGGGCCGGAGGTATTGGTCGGGAAAGCCTGTGAAAAGTGAACAAGCACAGCGCAGTTAGGTTTTCTTGGTTCGGCACTCAGACCATCTTGGGAGAGTTCCCAAGACCAAGGCTTCGCGTTGGGGGTGGGGCGTGTTTGAGACATGCGCGCAGTGGCGATGCACGTTTCACTCAACATGGGAGGGCAGCGAAAAGCGCCGACGACGACCAACGTCGGGGCGTGCATGTTCTTCCCACGGTTTTGCTCCCCAAATGAGTCAGCCATGGGTCATCGGGGCGGCATGCGCACTTCCATTCCTTGTCTGGTGCTTGAAGATTCTGGCAGTACAATGAGTTGCCTGCTCACTTTCTCATGCTCGGCTGCTTCTCAGGGGATCGTTGTCTCTAGCGCCCAGAGAGACTGCCGCCATGAGTGCTCGCGACTACATGCGGCAAATGCTGCAGGATATGATGGGGGCTGAGGCCACTGGTATCGGTGAGTTGCTGTGACATGGCTGTGCGCTGCTCTCACCCATACCTAGTCGCGTCCTGTGTGACCTACCACCCGTGCTCCCGGTCTTCGTCGTCGCCTCACACGTCCCATCTGCCGTTGTCTTCAAATCCGTATGATAACCAGGGTCTGATATCAACGATGTGACGGATGAGCGATTGTGTCACTACCATCTCTGTGGCATGTGCCCCCACACGCTGTTTGCCAACACGGTACATCTTGCACAGGCGCCTTGGGCTCGTTGATTTGGCGACCATCCCGTTCCGAATCTCGCATAGCCTCAGTTCACACTGAACCATCCGTTTCTTTTCCCACATTCATGTAGAAAGCGGACTTGGGCAACTGTGCCAAGAGCCACAGCGAGCCCATGCGGGAGGAATATGAGCGACAGGTGGCACAGGGCAAGGATTTTGGTTACGAACGCGAGCTCTTTGATTGCATCGCCTCGCTCGTTCGCGAGGTCGATGCCAAGATCCGACGCGCCAGGTCCGCTTCCTCTTGCACTGCGCCTCAACTCGGCCCGCCATCCAAATGTGCTTTTTTGAATGCAACTGACTCTCATTCTGGCTTTTGGGCGTCCTTTTGTAGTGATCGCCTTGAGCGCGATCAAAAGTTCGATGTGGAAGTCAAAGCCAAGGTCTTCCATTGTCATCTTCTCACCGTCCCGTGGCTTCTTTACCCCGCGTGCATGCCCGAAACACAAGGACTCTGATTTTTGATTTTTCTTTTTCCTTTTTTTTTTTTTTTTTTTTTTTTTTTCGGGACCACTTGCGCTCCCCATTAGGCCAGCCGCGTCGAACAACTTGGCGAGTCCATTGGCAAGAAGTTGGCCGAAGCCGAGCGCTTGGGCGAAGAGGGTGTGTAGCGCTGTTTCCTCTGTTTTTCCTTGTCCCATCATGGCATTCAGCTCGATGCACGGGACCCTGTTTGGTCGTGTTCCTCTATAATGATCAATTGCCCTATTCTCCTCAGCTTTTCCGCCGCTCAATCACATCTTTGGGCCCGCTCTTGCTTTTCACCAGGTCAAATTGAAAAGTCGCTCGAACTCACCAAGGAGGTTGATGAACTCAAGCGTCTGCGTGAGGATGCCGAGGTGAGCGTGCTGGTCAAAGCTTGCCCAACCCACATCGCGAGACGTGCCTTGGCCATCTCTCACATTCTACGTCTGACATGGGTCTTGCTCAGGCCGAGTTCAGGGCCATCCTGCCCCCAGGCTCCCAGCAGCAGCAAAAGCTGCGCGTATGCGAAGTGTGCGGCTCCTTCCTGTCCATCTTTGACAACGATCGTCGGTGCGTATCTCGTCTTCTCCCCCAGACCCGCTGGCCTGCAGACCTTTGGTGCCAGCCCTCATCGTACTAGCAGGCAGTTGCAAGCCGGATTGAAGAATACTCACCATGCGATTGATGCCGGCAGTCTGGCTGATCATTTCGGAGGCAAGATGCACGTGGGATACCAGAAGATTCGCGATCGCGTGCACGAACTGGAGGGCAAATACAGTCGTGGTGGACCTGGTCCTGACGATCGCTTCAGGTGCGAAAGTATTCATAATGTTTAGCTCCAGAGACACAGAGAAGGGCGAGGAAGAGAAGGGCGAGGAAGACAAGCGAAACGTATCCCGGCAAGGCTGACGGAATTTTGCGTCAGCATTTCAATTTTGATGGATTTGTTCTCACTTGCACCTCTCTTGATGACCCATCAGCCGCCGTGACTCGGGCCGGGAGCCTGGGCGTTATCAAGACGATCGTCGTGGTGGTAGCCGTGACCGTTACGATGATCGTCGCGACAATCGCTATGATGACCGTCGCGGTGGTCGGGGGGACCGCTACGACGATCGCCGCGGCGGTGGCCGGGGGGACCGCTATGATCGCTACGACCAAGATGATCGCCGGTGCGTTTCCCCTCTCATCTCAAAAGACAGCAAGACAGCTCTGACGCTGTTGATGCCCACCCAAAGCGGCTTCTTGCTCATCCTTGAGCGGTCCTTATTCTCTGTTGACGCGACATTTGTAATGTGTGGTGTAGGGACCGCTACAGCCGTCGTGACGATTACCGGCGTGATGATCGGTACGAGCATTGAGATGCACCATGGCAGGTTGCGAGGATTTTAAGGAGGGGGTCATCAAACAAAGAGGATTTTCATTTCTGTCAGGTCTGATGTTCAGTCCATCAGCGTGTAACACTCTCATCTGTTTTATTTTGGTTGCAGGGACTCCCGTCGTCGCTATTAAGGCGCTGGGATAGTGAGTAGGCCATCAAGCCACTTTCTTCAAGTACTGAGCTCGTTTGAGTAGGCGCGTTACGCGAGTTTAGCTGCCAAGGGATGTCAACGCTAGTGGTTGACAGCTCAGTGGGATGGAACTCGATCCAATTCACAACGCCATGTTCAATAAGCGCGTTTGGCCTTGCCATCAAATAGATCCCCTACCCCAATTCCTCAATGGGTCAGTGCTCTGCACATAACAGCGAGAGGATAGCGAGTGAGTGAGTGTTGGACTGAGCGAGGAAGAGGGAGAGCGGAAGTGAATGAGAGTAAGTGATGATGGACTGACAGAGAGAAAGAGAGAGGGAGGGAGAGAGGAAGAGAGAGGAAGAGGGAGAGGGAGAGAGAGAAGAAGAGAGAGAGGAAGAGAGGAAGAGGAAGAGGGAGTGATGTTGATTGAAGGCGAGAGAGGGCGAGTGCGACACATAATCATTTAATGATGAAAATCATCAGGCTCACATTCCCTAATTTCAACTTTTCTCTCTTTAATTTTTTGCTGTTGTTTGGACGCCCGAACTAGGCTCAGCAAAAGGGCAGCCGCTGTATCGCCGACACGCTTGACAGTGCTGCAGGGCCAGGATTTGATGCGGTTGAGGACGCGGAGGTGGTTGGAGAGGTGTGAGTATTGGGATATGGTGGTTGTGGCTCGCTGCCCCTGGTGGGCTTGAGCGGCAGACTTGTTGCAGCACCACACTCGGGGTGGTTTGGATTGGTGAGGCACGCCGAGCTGTAACATGACGGTCGAGCGAGGTGAAAACATGTCTGGCGGCGCGAGTCAGCTTCAGAGTGGCAGTATGGGACCTGATGCCATGCATCCCATCGAAGACTACGAGCTGGGCCAGCGGATTGGTGCTGGGGCCGAGGGTAGTGTTTACATTGTGACAGAGTAGGTTGACGCGCACACGTGTGTGTGTGTGTGTGTGTGTGTGCTTGTTTGTCGCTGGGCACCAGCGTGGACGAGTCAGTCGCTGATCATTGTGGCTTCGTACACAGTCGGCGCGAGGGTGACAACCCCAGCCGCAAAGTCATGAAGAAAATTTATATTGGCAAGCGGAAGAAGGAGACCTTGCGCGAGGCCGAGCTACTCAAGAAGCTGGACAACCCTTACGTCGTCCGCTACATTGCTTCATTTCTGGATCCTAGTGAAGAACATCTCTGCATCGTCACTGACTTTTATGCGGTCCGTGATAGCTGTCCTGAAACGCCCTTCATGTGCACCTTCGTGTTATTTGGGCCGTTGCGGTGTTCGAGATGTGTGTGACACCACGGCATGATGGTGGCAGCTTTGCAAACATGATCTCTGTGCAATCATTATCATTTGGACAATCTCCGAATCCTTGTAGGGTGGCAACTTGGAGCAGCGCATCTGCGCGCAACGCGAGGCAGAAAAGACCTTCACGTATGTCCTTGAGGATCAGTCCTCTAAAGCTACCCCTTACTGATTGGCACATTGGGCATGCTCATCAGTCTGTTTTCGGCACTCTGCCAACCACATCATATCGTGCACGTCTCGTGACAGAGAGGAAGAAATCATGTGCTGGGTTGTACAAATTATACAAGCTCTGCGCTACCTCCATCATGAGCGCATTCTCCACCGAGGTCTGGAGAAGCACCCTACATGCCACTTGCTCGTGCCATCACCTGGGTTGATGCCGTCCTGATCCATGTGCGTTTCGGTAGACTTGAAAACTGCCAACATCTTCCTCACCCTCACCGATCTCATCAAGGTCGGCGACCTTGGCGTCGCGGCCCAGCTTGACAGCTCCCTGGACATGCGAACAACATGTGTCGGCTCGCCCTACTATTTGTCCCCAGAGGTAGGCTCAGCCTGCAGTTAGCAGCTGCGATTAAACGCCTTGACGTGCACCAGCCCGCTTCTGAAGCTCGTGAGCAATGTCATGATGCCATCATGACTGGTCTATCGCCTTGTGACTTGTAGGTGTGTCAAGACGTACCATATAATACACGGTCGGACATGTGGTCGCTCGGCTGTTGCATATACGAGCTGGCCACGTTGCGCAAAGCCTTCAAGGGCAATAATCTGCTCTCAGTCGTCAACAAAATTTGCAGCTGCAAATACGAGGTTTGTCCCCTTGAGCGAGCAGCCGCCCAGCCTAAACTGCCAATCAACTGCCAGTTCTTCTGTGTCTGCTCGCCTTTTTCTTCGATCTTTGGGCACTGCCTGCTCCAACACATACTGGCTGAGGATCAGGCTGCGTCTTATCCACATTTTTGTTCATTTAGGCGGTCGATGAGTCTTGTCCCGAGGGTGTGGCACATCTAATTACCAGTTTGCTTCAAGTGGAACCCAATGATCGCCCAACCACCGTCGAGCTGTTGGATCAAGACTACGTGCGCACGTACTTGGCTGTCTTGACGCATCGGCTGGAAGCACATCAGCTTTTGTACGTTCTTTTTGGCTCTTCACCTCAGTTGTCCTGAGCTTACACAAACCTCTTGGCGTCACGGGGCGCAAAGTGGGACCACATCAGCTCAATACCGCCCACACGGTGGTGTTTTTGCACCCAACCCTTGATAGGAGTCGACGCCGTATGACACATCTGGACTTTCCCGAGCTGAGTGGTCCCCCAAGTGAGGTGATGGTGGAGGAGATGGCTGCGTCGGCGCTGTCTTCTCGAACAGAGTCTACTCACTCGCGCAGCATTGAAATGGCGAGTGAGGACTCTGGCATTCAATACAGTCGCGAGCTGGCCAATTCATGGCCCGTGCAGCCTGTTGGAGGTACTTCCGAGCACCTGCTTTTCACCACAGGTGCTGGTCGGCATGAGGAATCAGGGCGGGTAGATGTCCGTCAACTCATGCGACGGCGGACGCGGTCGCGCGAGGATAAGGCAGCCCCGTGGAGTGATGGTCATGCTCCAGTGTCCCCTGCGGCACGCGAAGGATTGAAAATTCGTGGGCAGGCGAAGGGTGCTATCAGCACACCATCAGCCAGCGCCAGCCCGGCAGATCCCGCGATCCTTTGCGAACCGGCGGCTACCAGCGCATCCGTGGCGGAAGCGACAAGCTGCTCCATGCTTCGTGGCACCAACCCCACACCAACAGATTTGGCCAGTTCCCAATCCCAAACGCCAGGGATGCGTCAGAGCAGCAGTGTTAGCAGCAGCATTAGCAGCAGCTATACGACGCACCACCCGCTCATCGTGACGAGCGGTGCTACGTCCGCCTCAGCTAACATCAAATTGCAGGTCGGGCTCTTGATGGAACACGCTTTGCATCTCCGGCTGCTGTCTTGGGTGATGTTTTGCTCTCACATCCAGGATGGTTGCATTTAGGATGGTCTTTCTGGAGCCCCCGCCCAACTGCAGCACCGTGATAAGACCAAAAGCTTGTCCATGACACACAACGCTCGCAAGCCCGTGCTGACCGTCTCACTTCCAGACCGACCGGCCACAACAGCTACGGGCGCTGTTCGCCGAAAGTAAGCTGTCGTTTTGATCATACCGAGTACACTTCTGGAAGCAAGAAGCACGAGCTTCTGAGCTCTCTTTTTTTTTTTTCTCACTCGTCCTGACGTTGGCTTTTTGAATGAACCGCGATGGCTTTCATGACGTAGCTCGCTGGGCCGCTCACCCGCAACTAGCAAGCCCAAGGCGCGAAATGGTCAAGCACGGCCTGCCAGCTCGACTCTGACTCGGCTCACGAAGACAGAAGGCAGGGGACCGGGTGTATCCGAGGAAAAGTCGCCTCTACCAGAAAAGAAAGCGCCCGTCAAACGCACCAAGTCTAAATCCAAGACCAAAGCAATGCCACGTGCGGTTTCGCACGCTCGTGTAGCGGGTGCACGTGGGTCACCTGCGGCTTCTGGTTCTACGACAAAAACAACTGCAGCCAGTAAGCCAGGCGGCAAGCGAGTGCGCAAGAAGAAGGCCGGCCCCAAGGGCAAAAAGTCCGACTCTAGCACCTCGGTAAGCCACCACGGTTGAGCCACTGTTTGCTTTGTAGCGATGCTCATCGACATGACCGCGGCACCCCTCAACGCTGCCTGCGCGGCGTGTGTTCCTTAGGCACCGCCCCGTACGCGTGCCACCAATGGCGGGCCCAAGCTGGTCATCAAGCGTGCGGCCGCTCCGACTCCTTCGACAATTGAGGCTAAGATGCGGGAGGCTCAAGATGAATTGGCACTCCTGCAGCTCGAAACGGAAGCGGCTGGTGTCATGAGTTCTGCTGCAACAGAAGATTCGCTCATGGGCACAAACCAAGTTCACGAGGATAACGCTGGGTCTGGTTCGCCTGTGGCGGTGCCAGAGGACTTGAGTGAGGGGTAAGCAGAATAATCCCGTACTCTGCGACATTTGGCTAGCGCTGTTTGTCCCTGTTTCTGACTTTGTTTGGCTGCAGATACTACCTAGAGGAGTCTTTCGAGAGTGCGGATGAGTCGGAAAGCGATGGCGCAACGGTCGCATGCTTTGAGGACTCTGATGGCATCGGGTCATTCAGTGATGGTGAAGCGGGGTATGTGTGCATGCAGCGTCACATCGGATACTTCTTGCCTTGGCCAGTCTTTGGAAAAGAGCTGCCTTGTCGCAGCGCTCACCGCAGTGTTTGTGCGCCCGTTGCGTGTAGTAACACCATGGTGCCGGACGAGTATGCTTATGATAGCGAGAGCGAGCCCATGAGCGGTTCGGACGCGGAAGGGGAATATGACATCATGGCTGCCATTGCACAAAGCCGGGCCATTCTTTCGCGGGGTGGGTGTCGATTTGTCTGGTGCTGCAACGACGCACAACGTCACTGTATTCCTTCATTCTAATATGCTGACGGTGCGCGTTCTGTGCTGCCTCCATTTTGTGCTGATCAAGCGCAGTGGCCAACTATGATGACATGGACGACTTTTCCTCTGACATGCCGGCGCCCAACTTTGCCGGCCAGATGCGCGCGTATGTTGGATGCATTTATGCCCAAAGCGTGTTGCTAGCCTCATGCCAAGACTCATCATGTCACTCGTGATTGTCGCCTCAATTTGGTTGCAGGCGTCTGCAAGAGGCGATGGGTTTTCATATCTTTGATCGAGTGCATGACTTTTTCGCTCGCTTTGCCGCCACTCGGCCGCGGTATGTCGCGTTCATGTTGAAAAGACCAAGGGCGATACCCTGCGCGCCACTCATGACAGGGGCTTTGATTTCACAGAGCCTTGAGTGCGTCAAGACTGGATGAGGAGAGCAAATCGGAGCTGCTGGAGCTAGTAGAGGGGCGTGCAGAGCTGCTGGATTTGTGCGCGTCCGTCGCTGAACTCTACGAATACGAGGCACGGCAATCAGCTAGCTCGTCCCCTTTTCTACACCTTCAAGGCAACTAGGAGCTCTGGGTGTGGTGTCATACTGCCACGCGCAAGAGCGCCTCCTTCATGAGATTGAGCAAACGAAGGGGGCTACGATTTCACCTTTCAATTGACTCTGTGAGTCAGAATGGTAGCCTCAGAAAAACTCGTTTGGTGGTTCGTCAAAGACCCCGAGATGCCACCACCAAGCGCAAAACAGAGCTAGTAGGGCAAAGACCAATGCCAATGCCAGCTGTACATTTGACTGTCTTCTCCAGAACATGGCCGGCCATGCGCCTATCGGCACAGGGACGACCGTCTTCTGTCCCCGAACTCTAGGAGCATGATAATCGGCAAGGGCGTGGTGATTGAGATTCCTTCTCGCCCGTGCCATGGCGAGCAGCAGCGCCTCAAGCTGTGAAATCTGCTCTTCGAAGGTCTTCTTGTCAGGGTGGCCAGAGTTCTGCTGTTGTACGCATTGCTTGATTTGCCGTCCTAGTGATTCAAGGCGCTGCAGCGTAAAGTCTTGATGCCGCCGCAGGCGCTCATATTGCCAATGGATGCGTGTGGCTTGTTGTCGTGCTTGAAGCAGATCTTGGGCTAAATCTGCACGGTCTGGTGAGGTTACGCGGCGCAGAAGCTGCTGATACAAGAGAACCTCTTCTTTCAATGCAATCTGTGCCTCAAGTCCCAACCGTTCGGTCAGGTCTGCGTCTGAGCAAGATTCTTGCTCGATGGTCGTGGGACTGTCTAGGGTGGGCCTGTGCACAGAATCATGGTCGGACCGATCACGAGCCTCGGAGGGTGCTTGGGACGGGCTGTGCGGTTGGGGCTGATCAGTCCTAGCGATGGCCCCCATGCTGGGTGGAGATTCAGGGGTTGATGGCTTGCTCTCCGCGCTTCCTCCGTCATCCACGCATCCGCTATCATCGAGCGCTTGTATTGCCATCATGTTGGTAAAAGGGGTAGATATCACGTCGACGCCAGGAGACGACTTTTCGTGGGCCAAAGGCATGGCAAGTGTTGGCTCATTTGTAGGGCTTGTGCGCGTCGAGGGCTTGGCGTCCTCCTGCTGCTGATCTGCTCGGGCCCGAAAGGCGTCAGCCACCAGGTGAAGGGAGCCGATCAGGCTATCAGTGCTCATTTTCAAGACTCCAGAATATCAAGTCCTGCACTCAAGCAGCAGTGCTTGGGCAGCAGCAATGCGCCTGCCCTTTTCAGCTTGGCCTCACCCTGTTCCTGTGGGTATTTGGTGCCAACAAACTCCTTCACAAAAAAAAAAAGAAACAAGACACTTTTGTCGACAAATCGCGAGCTAATTTTTGGCGGCAAATGCTCACAAGAAGATCTCTCCTCTATGCGTGGTAGCGCATATCAATAAAGGTATGCCATGTTGGTGGTGCATGGGGGTGGGTTGTTTGGCAAGTGCAATCTCGATGGAAAGAATCAATGACTTGACATGTTAATGTGTAAGTGTGTTTATTGTTGTTGTTGAAAAGGCTCGGCACTTTTGTCGCACCACGTTTTTTTCTAAGGAGCCTGAGTACATATCCAACGGCAGGGAAGAGGGGCGTGCGCTCGAAATCAGGATTCAATCAAAAAAAGGAGAGGGAAGGCAAATCCACTCTCCAAACAAAGGACGGTTCGAAACACGCACAAGACTGTGAAAAAGATCTGGGTCAATGCTCGACACTCGTGCTCGGGCATTGAGAAGAGACAGCATCTATGCAGACAATCATCGCAGCAGATCCACGGGGGGCAATATCGCTCCCCTGGGGCCTTGGGAGCAAGAGTCCGAACAAGCAAAAGTAAGCATACAAGAAGAACACGTACCAGGACACGGTTTTTCATACAAAACGGAAGGCAGTCAGTCATTCACAATGAAGAGGCACAGCAACAAAAGGTGGCAGTTCAATGCCGTGGTCGGCAATGAAGCTTTGCTGGACCGGGACAAGGGTTTAAAAACACAGCAAAACAAAAACACAAAAACAAAAAGCATGATGAGCAAGGTAAAAAAACATCAGATCGGGCAGAGCTGTTATCGGGTCGGGGTCGATATTTTGACTCGAATCGGGCGTGTATCAGGATGGGGAAGAAGCGGCAAGACCAATCTCCAGAATCATCTTGCAACGGTGAAAGCTCGCTCTACATGCGGTTCAGCTGAGACACCATGGGGCGAGGAGAGAGGGCTGTACGGCGCTCTGATTTGGGTTTGGCCACCACAGGCTCCAAACTCAACTGGCCCGCGCTCTGGAAAGGTATAGGCGGACGAGACGGAGGAGGAAGGGGCGATGGATCAGCGAGCGTTGGGTGATTGGGAAGGAGAGGAGATATCACAGCACAGTGTTGGGCACCGTTGGACACCTACCTCGCGTGAGACATTATCCTCATCTTCGGCATCATGGATATCTACCAGTTGGCTCATGTGCTATCGTGTCACCATGTCAACAATCAGGTCAGTGGGGGTTGGAACAGAAATGTGCGGGGGGGGGGGGGGGGGGGGGGGAAAG